TTTAAGATGCTACTTCAAGTTTTCTATTTAATGTGATTTGGACTACCATTCTAATTTCGAGAATATCCCAAGGTCGATCCACAATTATGAAATTGAAACCAGAACCAGAAAGAGAGGCATAGATTTATCAAACAAACGCAAAATATGAAAGACAAAACCCGGGTTACTTGCCTAACTAAGCACAAGGAGTACTCTTAAGAAATACCACAGAATTTCAGCAATAGGTTTGCCACTGATAAAAGGAACTGGCATACCTTATAACTAACATAATTTGATGGAAGTAAAGATAACTTCCTTAAAATGTGGCTCAACTTTAGAGAATAATTGTTCATAATTACGAGAAAGGAGGAGAATGAAACACAGTTAGAAATGTCAAGTGAAAAGGATTCCTAATCATAAGGTGATAGTATACAAATAAACGTCTGCCAAGATATTTGAGAAGAAGTATCAAGACATGTAGACATATAACAATAAATAAAATTTTCATATGCAATTAGATTGCCAATCTGTCGAAGATCACACTTCCACATATATAAATAAATAAATATCATAACACGTACAATTCATCGTTGTATTAGAAGTAAAAGTTTAAACTAATGCACCTTGGTGCCAGAAGCTCCTCACCATATGAAGGTACGGAGGAGAGTCATTTGTACGGGGCATTATCCTTGCAATCAGGAGCAGAAGTTCAATCAACTAAAAACATAGGAAACAACTTCTCCCAAAAATATGAACCAAAGAAGACAATCTACATTAACAAACTCCGGAAAGTAAACACGTACCAATTGTTATCAGGCCAGATTTAACCATAGACAATCAACGAACTGGCACGAGCCCTGTATCACCTGTAAATATTTTCAGTTTTGTCATGACCTATTCCACAGAAGTAGTAGTTAAGTATCTGATTTAAGTTGTTATGCCTTCCTATATTTAGGAGTTGGTTCTGTTTTCTGTGCAGTCTATTTAAAAGGCTTTCACTCGTTAATAAAAGTGGAGTATTCCTTCCAAACAGTTTCTCTATCATTTTTCATTTCGGCTGTTCATGTAACATCACCAATGACTATTTAAAGACATTCCCACAAGTTGCCTTAGTTCTGTAGGTACCGCGAGTATCTACATCTTCTGTTCTTCATTACAGATATCCCATAACCTGTGTTCTCGAAATGATACTAGCCAAAGAGGATTCATCAGAATTTCCAATTCACGATCAATGATCTCAACAGATATCACTTGAACATTTTCTGGTGACCCTCGTCAAATGTTCTTAGTTGAAGGAGATTGTGGCCATGAAAATATTCGGCAAGTAAATATTTGGAATAACCTCAAGGTTCTGTAATGAATTATCGCAGGGAAGCAACGGAACAAAAATGAGACCCAAACCATCCTCACCCAACCATGAATTATGCCGAAAATAAATCACAATTTAAAAACAAGCAGCATTACTGAAGCTGTTAGAAACAGATAAATTACACATAAAAAAATATACCAAATTGTCAAACCAGAAGGAAATACAACATCAAATCTTATACTTCTTTCCAAAGAAACCCCATCTCCTGCACAACACATCACATGTTATACACAGTGCCAGATGGCTTCATGACCAGAGACTAGTAACATAATTCCATATTATAGTTCACGCCGCTTTGGGCTCATTAAGTTATCAATGGGTTCAATTGGTAGAAAACAATAGAGACTCTATTTTCACTTTGAGCTCACTACAAACCTGTTGGTAAAAATAAAAATCACATACAAACTATTTGATAAAAAGAACAAGAACAATATAATTTAAATGTACGACATTAACAAATAATCTGGTCTTGTGAGCTTTTTGACAGACAAGAAACTTGACAAAACTTGAAACTTCAATTTCAAATCACCAAGATGAAGCAATTCTGTCAGCAGCCTAACTCCGCACCTTCCCGCTTCCAAGCGTTAGTTCCAAATCATCCAATGCCACTTCATGAATTTTCTCCCCAACCCAAGGCTTTACCTGTACCCCAAACTCTTCTGAACTCGTCCTCATCTCTTGGATTGAGTTACAGGCACACGGTGTGGAACCAAAGGTTTAACAAGATTGAAAGTTGGAGAAGCTGGTAACGTAGATGCAGAAGGACCAAATGCTTGGAATTTCATCCACTGGTTAGACTCACAGGTGGAAGTATCAGACTCATCACATTCTGGAATAGTGGCCGGGGTGTAAAGATGACGGTGAGTGGGGCTGGCAGGAGCAGAAGCTGCAAAGAGAGGGTAATTAAAGGAAGCCATGGATTCTTTGGCAATAGACTCCCATGTAGGAATTGGTTTTGGATTTCTTGATGTAGGTGATGAAAGAGGCGGCGTCACAGGGGCACTGTTTGATATCCTCAGAGGAGGAAGAGACAGGGACGCATTGCGAATGTATGGAATGAGGTTTGATACATTATCCTTATCCACATCTAACCGAAACGGGCTTGGGAAAGAGGAGGAAGAAGGACTCACTTGGTATGAAGGAATTGGACTGGGGTACGACGAAGAAAAAGGACTTGGGCTTTGAGAAGAGCAAAAGGGAACGTTTCTCATTGAGTTCCCTGCACCATTGGCCAGAGGTGGCTTGCAACCCTATTCACCCAAAACACACAAAACTACGTTACCATTTCAAATCAATCACCTTAACACAATCAATTTAGAGTCCAGTGAGTGACGAAAAAATTTAATCACATTAACACAAACAATTTAGAGTCTAAAGTAAGCAACTACAATAATCTCAGTAGGTGATGAGAGAACCATCAATTCATATTATATATATCACAGATAATCGCGTTAAACAATTTAGACTCTAAAGTAAGGATACGCTGATAAATCTCAGTAATTGACAAGAAATCGTCCATTAATATTCTCCGTAGTTACACAATGTACATTTTTCCATTTACAATTTGGATTATTTACTCCACCTACGAGATAAATCAATCAAGTTAACCCACACCTCGAATATCAAAGTTCACTTCCGTTTTCGGTACATCAAAGGGTGAATTAATTGCTACTTATCACAACCTATTATTTACGTATCTAATTACGCATTAGAAACAAGGATCAGAAAAAAAATCCGATAATTAAGTTAGAAATCTTCGTTTAACGTTAACTAGAACAATGCCTACACTGTCTCGCTTCTGGTTCCTGAGCGCAATGCACAGCATAAACGGAAAGCTAAACGCACGGTTTGATCGAAATGCAAAATCAAAAATAAGATCCAGTGACGCTGTAACGGTTATTGAAGTGTGATTTGACTTAATTTATTACCTTACGATAGGTAGTGCCGTCTTCTTCGACGCACCAACCAGCTTCGGCACAAAGCGCTTTGAGAACTTCGTTGTTGTCACAGTGCTTCGGCAAGTTATAGTTCCCCATAGCTCGAAGTCCAGAGTATATTTTCGCCGCGATCGCTCTTCTCCTCCGTTCTCTCCTTCGGTTATTCTCTCTCTCCCTCCACGACGGCTTTCTCCTACTCGCCGCCGCCGCCGCCGAAGTAGCTCCGTCGGAGGCCATTTTCCGGCGACGGAGACTAGGGTGTGCGCGCTGCAGGCGATTTAAACCCGAGGATAGTGCAACGAAACGGATTCACGAGGATCGCGCTTTTCTCCAATTGTCTTCGCTGGATGAGTGGAAGAAATGAAGAATCTGAAAAAGGTAGCAGTAATAATACATATATACGGATACTATTAATTATATTTTATGAGTATTATTATATATTAAAAATTTATTATTTTCATATATTGAAAAAAACAAAGAGATGAGGAGAAGGACGGGGGCAGAGGTGGAACATAAATAAGGGCGAAGAACAAAAAAGTCTAAAACAACAGTCCAAACAAAAAGAAAAGAAAAAGATAGAAAAAATAAAAGAGAACAAAATTTGAAACAAAACGAAAGACGTGAAAAAAACCACGCAAGCCCACAAAGAAGAACCAAAAAAAAGAGGTTTGGACCAAGAGCTACCAACAAAAAAAAACCGGGGAAACATACAAAGAAAGAAAAAAAAAATAATTATTTTATCAATTTTATGTTAAAATTATATTATATATATATATATATATATATATATATATACAGAAAAATAATTAATGAACAATAAATCTTTTAATAAATAGAGTAATTTCTCATATCCTTTATAATTAAAAAGGAAAATGTATCTAAATTGTTCAATGATAACAATCAATAAACAATAGATTGATATACTGAGTTTAGTGTAAAACACTCTTTTTATAAAGATGAGTAGAAAAAACAAAATAATGAGCATGCTCACATATCGATCATGACTTTTTTTATGTAACTTCTGTTAGTTATTTTTTAAGTTTTAATATTTTAATTTGATCCTTTAACAAATTAAAATATTGTTTATGGTATCTACATAATAATTAATTAAATCAATTTATGAAATTGACTAATAAAATATAATGACTCTAACATATTTAATGACTATTATATATATCTGAT